ATCGCGCCCGACTGCAGAACAAACTCGCGCCTCCCGGTCTGCCTTCCCTGGGCTCTGGCAGCGTCTGAGCGGTAGCCGGAGCTGGAGCCACCTTCAGCCGCTGCCTTGGAAGCGAAGCCTTTTGTAAGAGGTCTGCCTGGGAGCTTGGGAGCCAGCTGCGAAGCGTGTGCTCCGGCTCGCGGCCGGGAGGCAGTGCTAAGGGAGCAGGGCTGCGGCGCGGTAACATGACAATTCCAGTGCTTGCACCCCCTGGCCTGTGCCACCCCATCGCTGTAAACCGCTTGTTTTACTCCTGATGGCGTTATGCATCTCTGAGGGTCTGCTTTTCTCGTGGTGCCTCGTTACCATTTCCAGGCACCGTGAGACTCCTACCTTCTGCTGCTCAGAGTCACATCTGGCAGGGTCTGCGTGACCCTGCGAGAGCCGCTCGGGAGAGCAGCGGTAGAGTGGGATGTGGCTGCCAGCTGGCGCTGGCTCTTTGCCTTCCTCCTCTCATTAGTTCCTGTTGCATAAGGATAACTCGTTAATAAAGGGAGCTGTTTCTGTGACGCGTGGGGCAGTGCCATCTCTCCGTTGTGCCAGCTCCCCATGGGGAGGATGCCCCTAACCGGCGGCCTCCTGTCCTCACAAGCGCGGTCGCTGGGATGGGGCCAACAGGCCCTGCTGGCATTCGCAGGGTCTCGTCCTGCAGGTGCCAGAGCAAAATCTGCTCCCTCCTGAAGTGGCTGCATTAGCAGAGACTTCTTGCAAGGCCAGCGGCAGGCTGAGCAGCACAGACCTTAGGAATAAGCAACGCGCTCGCCAGTGAACGCTTCCCGCCAGGGTACGGGAACGGGCGTACGGGACCTCGGGGAGCGGAGCATCTTGGTCGAAGGCAGTGATGCTCCTTGCGAGTTGGCTGGCAGTCGCTCCCAGGAGAGATCAGCGCTCGGGGGATTTCCGTCATGTTGGGCCAGCCGGGGGCTGCTGTCTTCCGGCCCTGGCTCTGGCTGGACCCACAGCTGGGAGGCCAGGAAGGAACTGGTTGCTCCAGAGTCTCCCTCTGTGTGAGGAAGAAGGGACGCCCAAAGAGGCTGGCGCTGCCCCTGAGCTGTGCTGCGGTAGGAGAGGGCTTCCCAGGGCGCTGCCCCGTAGCCCTGATGGTGCTCTTGGGCCTTGCAGAAGCTGTTAAATCTTGAAGTTAGTTAGCCTAACGTTCCTCCAGCAGATCAGCCTCTCTTGCGTGAGGCTTAGGGCAGCGAACTCCTCGGTTAGGGGTCACTTGCCGAGGGCTGCAGCGCCGAGGACTGCTCAGGGCTCAGCGGGATCCGGCGCTGGCCGTGCAGGGGCGCATGGGTTGATGGCACGTGCGCGTGTTTCTGAGCCGTTCGGCTTCCGTGCCCTTTCTCCCTTCACCTGAGCTTGGGAGCTGAGAAACGTGTCAGTTCAGCGGCTGCAAGTGATTCGTAGAGGCCACTGAGGGAAACCATACCAATCTAATCCATCACGCGCGCCACTCGGAGGCGCAGCGGTCGATGCTTTAATAGAATCAGCGAAACAATCAATACTAATCACTGGCAAAGTATATTAAAAATAAAACCGCCCGACGGCCGGGGCTGCTGCTTTGCTGTGAAATGTGGCCAGGTAGCGACGGCGCGTCCAGCGACGGCGCCAGCCGCGAGCGCCTGGCAGGCTGCGCGGCCCGCAGCGCGTTCATGCAGCTTGTGATGCCGTTCCAGGTTGGAGAAGTCAAGCCAGGTCCGAACAGTGTCCAGCAGCAACTTGTTCTTTAAAGGAAGCCGGTTCCGATACAGGTAAATAATGACAGTAAGTAGCAGTTCCTGGATATATTTTCAGATGCTCCTTTGGATGTGGCTTGGGGAGCAGTTTATGGCTGCATTAATTAGACGCCTTTCTAAAGATCCTCCTGTTGTAGAAGGTTCTTCCATCGCAGCACTGCCTGCTGAATAAGGCCATCGTCTTTGCTTTCTCTGTTTCAGACTGACATTACTCTCTCCGGCCCCCTGAACTGTGGCCCTTTGTGGGGGCAGGGGTGGAGAAGGAGGGAGAGAGGATTTGGGGTTGTTTGTTTGTTTGGGGGTGTTTTTTTGAGAACAAGGGCTAGAATGAATCATTCCAATTTCTAAATCCCTAAAATGCGTTGTCCCTCTCTAGCCCATGTCTGGTGTGGACATGGGTTGGGTGAGAGACCCTAGCTGGGTGAGTGTCCCTAGCTGCAGGGTGCGCAAGGCCAGCTGCCCTGCTCGCTTGCGCGGGAGGGCCCGTGATGCCTTTGGCTTGTCCCCTTCCTCAGAGGAGAAGTAGCACCACAATGTCAGACATCTCATGCCAGGAGAAGAAACAAAATGTGATGGCAGAGGTGTCAGCCCAGCAGTTCCCCGATCTTCCCATAACCAGCCCACTTATTATCAGTGAGTATTTCTGTTGTCCTCCAGAGCATCTGGGGAGCAGCCCCCAACCTGGCCTGTGCGTATCGGGATGAAGTAAGGAGCAGGCCATGCTCAGGGTGAAGTGTGCAACTGGGGGCAGCTTCTTCTTAGCAAGGCAGGTAGATCTCTTACGTTGCTGGTGTGTTATTTCACGTTGTCACTGCTGCTGTTCTTGAACTACCTGCAGTGGCCGGGTTGCAAAAGAAGTGATGGAGTCCAGCGCCAAGATCAAGCGGGAACCTCCAGAAATACACAGGTAAGAGCCGGATAGCAGCATCTCGGCACGTGACCTCAAAGGGGTTTGGGGACCTAGTTCCCTTGGGTAGGAACCTAAGGTTCCTCAAGGTAGCCCTTGAGGATCTGGGCACGTGTGCTCCATTCAGTCCCGTTTCCTCGGCCGAAGCCCTGAGCAGACAGTTCAATTAGGATTTTGCACAAGCTTTCTTGTTTGCCTTCTCCAAGCTTCAGAGGAGCTAGTAGTATGGGATACCGTTAGCTGGACAGGACGCGAGTTCGGACGCGTCTAAGGAAGCAGCCCAATACAGTGACCGGTTGCTTACACTGAAGTGCGGTTGGATGCTTAAGCAGGAGCCGTTGCTTGTGGTCGGGGGCCGCCTTTAGCCGCAGCGGTAGTAAACTCAGCTGGGCCGAAGCTTGGCCTCGCTGAAGTCGAGGGGAGCGGGTGGGAGAGCAGCCCACCTCCGGTTCGGGGCGAGTGGGAGCCCCACGCGCAGCGGGGGCCTGCACCGAGCAAAGGGTCCCCCAGGGTCTTCCCTTGCTCCTGGAAGACCCAGCTGGTGACAGCCGTGCAGGGCTTGATCCCAGGCCCCAGGGAGTTCAGCCTGCGCAGAGGCGCTGGGACTTAGCTCAGAGATGTCGTGTCAGAGTCGCTGATTTACTGCCAGCCTGTCCGGCCAGCGGCTGCGAAGAGCG